AAAACTCAGGAATGCAGCTGGAGCAGGGTAAGGTCACATCTGTGCACGAGGTGGGACAGTGGGACCTGTTCCCTTGACGTGGGTCCATGTCTGGTGTCATTGGAGCAAAATGAAATCTCAGTTTAATCTGCTCATGGCTGCCCCTCCTGTGAGGAGAGCAAGGTGGAATTAATGAACCCTGAGGTGGAGCAAGCAATTGAACTCCTGCTCCCCTGGGAAATGCTGGAGTGTGATGGGAGGGGATGGTTGGAATGGCTGGGCAGAGCCTGGAATCTGCAGCAGGAATTTACAGGTTTTATTTTCCATTTTTCTCCCTGCTACGCGTTGTAGGGGCTCATCTTTTTAATCAAATTAAATCCAGTCAGGCTTAAAAGGTGCCACAAAGGCTGAGCTTGGTGTGGGTTGTTGAAATTGGGATGAAGTACATGAGCACAAGGATACCTGGGCTTTGGGGCACATCTTGGTGCTCAGACTCGTGTCAGGCTATATTGACACCACTTTTTGTCTTACTTAAAGGTCTCCTCCCTTCTCTGGAGGAGAATCTATCCTCCATGGATGTTTAAGGGTTAGATCAGCAGTGGGAATAGATAAATTTGCCACTCAGAATTGTGCTGTGTCTGCAGTAATTCAGAGCCCAAATTTGGGAAATCAGTGATCCCAGATCTCTCTGGAGAGCTCCTTGTGTGGATTCCTCAGTGCCCAGGGGTTGGAACATCCCTTCTGTCACTGCACCATTCTGCCACCTTGTTCTTTTTGGAAAATCCTGGTTCTGTGCTTGTTTGGCTCCCCCATCATTGCCCAGGACCCTCCAGGGTGGCTTTGGGCCCTCAGCTCCCTTTGCATCCCTGCAGTGGGAATTATTTCAGGAGCAGCCTGTGAAGGGGCACACGCTGTTCCCTTTCCCTCCTGGATCTCTTTGGGACCAGTCACCTTTTCATTTCTATTTTATGGGATTGTTCAAAGGCTGCCAGCTGGATATAGGTGAGCAGGGCTTTTCTCTTCTGCAGTCTGCAGGGAACAAGCATCACCGTGCAGCCATTTAGCCCTGGCAACTGCTTCCTCATTTTCCAGATGATTCCAGCAGCTCTTTTTGTGTTCAGCCTATTGTCAAACACCATCACAAAGACTTGGGGTGTTAATGCTGTCATCTGTTCAGAGAGTGGAGCTGCTGAGTGGGCTGTGCTGGGAGGTGCTTTCAGAGGTTGTGCCTTTCCCTGGCACCACTGATGGAATGTCAGAACTCCCTCCTGTGTGCCAGAGCAAAGGTCTGGAGGTGGGGCAGGGAGCAGGCACAGCCCTTCCCTGCCAAGGGCACCCTGTGCCATGCTCAGAGCTCCTTCAGCACTTGGGGCTGGGAGCAGAGGATAACAATTGGATTTACCCCAACAGCTCCCAAGGCCTTGGCTGCTGAACAGAGCAGGTCCATGGTCCTGCAGGCTGGGCCCTTCCCTGCTGGGCAGGAGCTGCTTCTTACATGCTTTACCAAATTCTTTGCTGGCTGGAGAGTGACTATTGAGACAGCACTGAAAGCTGAGGAGTGGTTTGTTGAAAACTCTGCTTGGGCAGGGGATAAATAATGTGATTTTTTTTTTTTTTCCAGTGACCACCCTTAGATGGCCTCAAGCACTGACTGAGCTGTGGCTGCAGGTGCTGCTGGCTCCTGCAGTGGGGCTGTTCAGCACCAGTGACAGCCCAGGTGCCTCTCTGCAGGCTCAGTGTCCCAGCAGAGCTGCAGTCCTGGGCTCCCTCTGCTCCTATTCCCCAGGGCTTGTGTGTGCCCCACAAGTGACCATCAAACATTCCCTGGGACTGACTTTAACTGGGCAAGGAGGGAAAAGCCATTTCCCTCAAACCCACCTGCAAAACATCTGCTTTTTAAAACAATTTCACTGCTCTGATTTGGGACCAGCACAGCTGAGGGGCTGTAGGGTGGCTGCACGCTGTGTGGCAGGAGCTTCTTAAACCAGAGCAGCTGCCAAAGCATCTTAACATGGAGCTCCTGAGGAGAGAGGATCTGCTGCAAACTGCTGACTCCAGGCTCTGGGTCCCCCCTGGGTGCTCCACTCAGCATTCCTTGGGCCCTGCAGCTTTTGGATGCCTCTCCTGGGCAGCCAGGAGTGGGGAGGGTTCCTGAGCCCGGTGTCAGGAGGAATGAGCTGTTGTTATCTCCAATCCCAACAGCTCCAGGAGGTTTTCCAGCAGGCTCAGACAGGATGGGGAGGTTTGGTTGTGTTGCTGGCACATCCAGATGTGTTTCCAGCCAGACCCCGAGCGTGAGCAGGGCAGGGAAAAAATGTGTGGAAGCTTGGGCTTCCAGTGGGAAACAACAACAAAGATCCTTTCCATTTCCTTCAGCTGCAAAATGATGCCAGGAGCTAAGTTATTCAGGAGCAAGTTATTTCAGAGAGTCTGGGTTTCTGAGGGAGGGGGATTGAGATGCCCCTCTGAATGTGTATCAGGAAAATCTGCACAGGGAAAAAATGCAGAGCACAGAAAGTAGGTCTGGCTGCTGGCTGTCACTTCAGTGCAAATCAAGTGTGTTGTGGAAATCTTTGTGTGTCTCTTAAAAAAACAAACAAAGCAACAAAAACAAATACAAGAGCATCTGCTTGTGTATAAATATACCTGGGGTTTTTTTCTGATTTTGTAGTTCCCATTACAGCATATGGCAATTTTTCTGGTGTGCCAGAAGAGCAGGAACATCTCCAGGAAATGCTCAGGATACAACACCCAGATAAAAGCTGCCTGTGCCACCTTTATAAAGATGCAGCCAGCTTAATCTTGCAGAGGGCATTTGTGGGGAATTTGTGGTTACCAGACTTCTCTCCCTTCTTCTTACAGTTTTGCCAAATTCTTTGCTGGCTGGAGAATGACTATTGAGGCAGCACTGAAAGCTGAGCAGTGGTTTGTTGAAAATTCTGCTTGGGCAGGGGATGAATAATGTGATTTTTTTTTTTTTTCCAATGACCACCCTTAGAGACCCTCAAGCACAGGATTGAGCTGGGAGGAAGGGTAGGCACCTCTGGGAGGATGCTGCTGTCTCTGGGAGTGGAGCAATGTCCACTGAGCCCCAGCACAGCTGATGGGACTGGGTTTGTTGTTTATTAAAGACAGACCTTTGTACAGCAGGAACAGAAATTCCTATTTCTGTACCAATAAAAACCCTGCTCCCGCAGTTGCTGTTATTGGCAAACTCAGTCACTTTGGTGTTTTTGGAGGAGTATTTAGTGGGAAAGAGTGGATGGTGAGAAAGCTTCATCTGCTTGCATTTTTCTCTGGTGGCACACACGTTGCTGTGGGACTTTGTGCTTCATCCCTGAGCCCTTCCCATGGCATCCCAGTCCTGCAGCAGGGACAGGCAGTGCCCTCCTGCTCAGGGCTGGCTTGGAGCCTCCTTTCTGAGCAGGGAACCATCCTCTGGCTTCCCACTCTGCCCCCAGCTCGCTGGGGTGGTGCAGGGGTGTTTGGCAGCAGCAGGAGCACAGAGCTCCAGTGCTGCAGAGGGATTAAAAGAAGCTCCTCTAATAAATGCAATTACACAAACATGCTCGAGCCATGTGTCCTATTTAATTCCTCCCCAGGAAAAGAGGCATTCCTCAGGGCACTGCTTTTGGCTGAGTCAAAGAGATATCCCAGTGCCTCAGGCATCCTCTCTGCATCCACAGTGGCTCTTCTGTGCCCTGGGTGGCAACTAATATTGGCCTTCAGATTCCTCTGAAGATCAGTTATCCCTCCAGGAGGCAGGGAATCGTGTGCCAGGCAGGGATTTTATGGCTGGCAGGGCCCTTGCTGCCATGCAGACCTCACAGGCAGCTGGCACTGCTGGCTGTGGCTCCCTGCCTGGGTGCCCCGTGGCATTTTTGCCCTCTGAGGTGCCTCTGCTCCATGGAAAGGATCCTTTTGCAATTGGGGATCTTCCCAAGGAAGCTGTCAGGGCTTTGGCTGCCTCTCCACGAGGCAGGAGTTGGGTAGGTGATGGAAGGGGACAAGCCAAGGAGGGCAGGGACCTCCCAGAGATTGTTTTATGTGATGTGGGGTCGCTCTTAATCAAATAAATGACCATTGTTAGAGGGCCTGGAGGTAAAACATGGATATTTCTCTTTTCCCTCAAAATTCTGTCTCCCCTTTTAAGGGTTTTTGGTCTGAAATCATCAGCTGAGGTTTTAAGAAAACCACTAAGCATTCCAAGGTTCCTGGTGAGGTGCAAAGTAAAGCAATAAATGGTCCAGAAAAGCTGTTTTTTTGACTTCCCCAGGCTCTGCCCCTCAGTGCAGACATTCCCTGAGGTGTCCCACAAGGTAACCTGTCTTCCAGGCAGGTTCACAAGCAGCAAATGTTTAATTCAGCGTGTCAGAGCACATTAAAACTGCAGGTGGCACTTGGTGCCCGTCAGGCAGGCACTGCCAGGGGGTGATGCCACAGCCCTGGCACCCCGGGCGTGCCTGCAGTGTCCTGCCAGGCTGGCACTGCCCTGATCCCTCCAGGGCTCTGCCTTTCCCTCAGCTCCAGAGGAGATGTGGGCACAGAGGATGTGCTTCATTTTGGGGCTGGTTTGGCTGCTCTGTGGTTCTCCTGTCCGTGTCCATCTCCATCTCCTGCTGGGTTCAGCCCCAGTCCTGAGCATCTCCCCGTGGGGGTGTGAGGTTTGCACACAGCTGGAGGCTTCTGTGGAATGCCCGGAGCTGTGCTTGTGTGCCCACAAATCCCAATCCCTCAGCACTGTGCAATTCCCCAGGAGAATTCCTGTGCAGGTGCAGTTTGAAAAGAGATTCAAAGCAATTTCTGGCAGCCTTCAGGTGAGGCTGAGGAGTGCTGTGAAGTTCATGAACACCAAAAGGGTGAAAAGAGATTTGCTGGGGCATGGGAGAGAAAACTCAGCTCTCGTTGGGCATGTATGGAAACACTGGGAATTCCAGGTGTGTCCCCAGGTGTTGGAGCTGGAGAACAGTTGTCTTTTTCCTCTCAAGCAGCCAGCTGAGCTTTATTTTCTTGCCTTGCAGTCCTTCCAGGGCAGCCAAGGACGAGCATACCTCTTCAACTCCGTGTGAGTACCCTGCGCGCGCCGCCTCCCTTGGGGGGATTTAACAAAACCTCCTGAAAAAGGAGAAAAAAAAAAAACAATTTCCTTCAGAAAACTTCTGCCTGGGAGTTGGGAGCTTCCTGAAAATGGTGGAGAAAGAGGCAGAAATAGCCCCTGATTCATTTTGGAGTCGTGTAAGGGTTTCAGATAAGCAGCAAGGAAAAGGTGATTTTTTTCGTCATCGGGTTGAGAAATCAGAGCTAATGGCTGAGTCATTCTCCTCTCCCAGGATGTAGAGGGACCAAGGAGCCAGAGTTTTGTAAATGTGGGGATAGATGATATCTAAATATCCACTTCATAAAAACTAAGTATAATTTTCCCAGTGACTGGAAATAGTTTTGGGGAGGTCGCTGCTGGTCTTTCAGCAGAGCTGCTGATTTCAGTCACATTTTTCAATTTTCCATTTGGGAAAGTAAAAGTACCATTTTATCAATTTGAGAATGAAAATCTTTCTCAAATGCCTAATTAGCACAAGTGACTAGAGTGTTATTAATCTCTTGCTCAAAGCTTTCATTCAATTCGAGTTTTTTAGTTGAATAAAAATCCCATTTTACCTTTTCATTCTGCGAGAGAGCTTTGTTCTGGGCACAGCTGGGAAACTCAGGACCTCCTGCTCATGTTTTCAAACACTGCAATGGAATAATTGTCAGCTTTTTTGGAGCATCTTGATGTGGAAGGGCACTAATGGGGAGCATCTGTGCTTTGTCCCAGAGTGAACGTGGGCTGTGGCCCTGCAGAGGAGCGGGTGTTATTAACAGGACTGCACGCCGTGGCAGATATTTACTGTGAAAACTGCAAAACCACGCTGGGCTGGAAATATGTGAGTATTTGTGTCCCTGGCTTTGCCCCTGGGCAGCTTTGCTTCAGCTGAGGGGGGTGGAAAGATCATTTTGGGAGCCCAAAATTCAGGTTTTCATCTGTAACCATCTGTTTTCCTCCTGCCTTGTGTGTGTTGCATTTAGAGAATGAGCTTTAATGTAGGTTTGTTTTTTTTTTTACTTAAAATTTTCCCCTTGTTTTTGTTGGTTGCCCTTCTTTGCCTTTTACTTTAATTGGGGTTGGTTGCGTTCTTTTGTTTCCCCTTTTTTTTTTTCATTATTCTGGTAGATGTTATCAGAATGCTCCATTAATCCTGTGTCCTTCCCACTGGATATGCTGTTGAACACGAGTTTATCTGTTTACTCTTCAAAAATTCAATTACCTTCCAATAAAATCTAATGTTATATTGTAATTTCTGCTTCTGGAGGCCCGCACCATTTTGTCCAACCATTTTCACCAGTGTCTGAACAAATCCTGTTTTGTATCCGTGGCCTCTGGACAGAAATGCTCTTCACTAAGTCAGGTGAAAAGCTGTAAAAAGGAAAGCATCAGAAATGGCTGGGGCAGGAATTCATGCAGAAGCTCTGGGATATTTGGGATGCAGGCCACAGATCTGTTTAGAGTGGGATCTTCTCCTGGGACTCCATTTCCACATTAAATCCATCCCATTCCCAATGAGAGAACCACTTCATTCCTAACAAACTTGAATAAATCCCCCAACCACCTTGGAGAGGGCTGCATTTTACCACCAATGATCCCTAAATCCTGCCTTTAGGAGCAGTTGCCATTGTCTTACAGAAATCTGCACGTGCCATGCTGATAATTCCTTTTTCCCAGCAAGTCAAGGCAGCTAGAAGCAGAATTTAAGATTTGTGAAGCATGATTTAAGATTTTAGAAGCAGGATTGAGGATTCCAGAAGCAGGATTTGATATTCTGTAAGCAGGATTTCAGGTTCTAGACTCAATGTTTAATTAAGTTTCTGTGGGCATGAATTGGGGTTTTAGACTCAATATTATCCTTGTAGAAGCAGAATTTTGTATTCTTGAAGCATAATTTAAGGTTTCAGGAGCAGGCTTTAATATTCTAGAGGCAGGCTTTGATATTCTAGAAGCAGGATTTGCAATTTTGTAAGCAGGATTTATGATTCCCAGAAACAGGATTTCATATTATAGAAGCAGTGTTTTGGGTTCTAGACTCGATGTTTGGCATTCTAGAAGCAGAATTTAAGATT